GTACGTGCCTTTATCACCTTAAACGAAATATGGTTTATACAGTTCCTATAAACATTCAAATTATATATATGAGATGAATTCACACTATTTCGCTTAAGGTGTTGAAGGAATGGTAGGTGAATTTTTCTGCAATAATGTGAGTTTCCATTGGATTTTACATAGCTCAGCTTTCCCAAAAGGTTTTCTCATCCAGGGTGGACTGCAGTTTCAACCCCGCCTAGATCTTATCGGCACTTCCTGCGGGAGTGGAACCTTGGCAGTTTAGTGTGTAATATCGACACGTCACCCACTACGCCACATTGCCGCGAGTAACCTTGAGTCACATGGCTGATGTGAATTTCAAGGAAATTCTGATATTTTCCCATATCATATTCTTTAAGGGGATTGCCGAAAAAGCCAAGTTATATTTGCCAGGATAATCGACTACATTACTCGTTTTTGGTTCATCAACGGGGTTTAGAGCCCACCAGTAAATCAGTTATATGAGGTGTATATATAGGGTGAATATATCTCATGTAAATGATTTATTGATAATCTCGAAACCCTACTAATGAACGATCAATTCTAATTATTTTTATGTTAATTTATTTTATTATATTTGTAATGGACGGCTATATTTAGTTTAAAAGTTTGGCTTTATTAAATCCCTTATTGTTAAATCTAAAATACATCGGCATCAGATAGTCTCCAACAGATAAAGCTCAACCTCTGAGAATGAGGCCTTTTTCAGTTTCTTGATAGGAACACTCTCTTTACTATTTTGTCCATAATCTAGTTTTTATTTCGCCTGGGTACACCTTGATCGTCAGTGATTGCAATTCATTCCATGATCTATTTCGCATTTACTAATTTTTTTGCTGATAAACCGCTCTAAAGATTATTTACCTAATAGTTAGGATCTCTTCATTTATCAGTAAACAACCAATAAGCCTTAATTTCATGATTATTACTCTCCTATCGTTTACTGGCTTTAAAGAGGGATGGTGATATCCATTTATTCCTCTCTTTATTAATATTTGTTAATAGCTAGATTAATTTATTATAGTGGATTCAGAAAATCTCTTCTTTTAAAATATTCTATACTTATCCTTATATTATCATTATGAATACTATTTGACAATCCATTTATCTTCGGCTTTGTCGTTAGTTCCATAGCTCATTGCTTAAGATGTTTCAAGTTAAATTTCAGATTATTTCAACTAATAGTTCGCATACCTTATCTCTATTGGCGAGTTCATAACCCCTATATTTTAAATTGTTATAGAGGTACTCATACTAGAAGTGGTAGATCCTTTGCTAACTTGACGATATGAATTGTGGTGCAAATACGTATTACACGTCATAACCTTATAGGAAGGCGTCTTTCCAACCCCGAAACTCCATACGGACAACTCTACTTCTCAACTTATAGAGACAAAGCCATAAGATGAAACTTCAATCTTGCAATGATATATGCATATGGCTTGTTTTTCCTGCGTTTCAGCTATCAACTGGCTGCTACTACATAACCACTCCCACCGGCGCCGATCGTCCCATCGTTTTGAACAGATGTCTTCTGATCTGACCATCTCATCACTGTCTAGCACCGCCTGCAATCTTGCTGCTGTGCAAGCCGCTTGGACAACGGTTTGGCGCGGTGGCGAATTTCCTAATCCAGCTGGTGTCAGCTTGCGCTTGGACACCCGAACTCAGCCTGCCCATCGCTGGCGTTTGGTACTCGCCGATCTCTGGAGTTGTGTATTACTGCGCCGTGTTGTTGTCTTCGCCTGGGCGACCCTAGGGCGCTTACTATCACCCGGCCCGAGGCCCCAGAATCCAGTT